GATGGAAGTGGCCACTGCCCTTGGTAACCATCGTGAGTTATTCCGTTTGATACGGGAAACGGGCAGCAGGAGACCTGGTGTTAGTGAAACTATACGTGACGAGAGTGGACAGCATGTCCACAACTTGTCAGAGCGTTTGGAGCGTTGGGCTGAGCACTTTGAAAGGCAATTTAATCGGTCGGAATTGTTAGATTTCTCGCCGACCAGTGATCGCCCTGCTCCGTGGGCTGTCCACTTAGATCCGCCCACTCGCTCAGAAGTCGAACGTGAGATCAAACTGTTGAAGTTAAATAAAGCCGCGTGACCTGATGACCTGCCTCTAGCCCTCTTCAAATTCGGGGGACCTGCTCTTGTGGATGATTTACACGAGTTACTAGTGTGACTGTGGGAGCAGGAAACTGTCCCAACCGATTGGAGCCGCTCCATCATTGTCCCAATTTTCAAAGGAGGCTCACGATCGGAATGCGGCAGCCATAGAGGAATCAGTCTGATCTCCATCGCCTCCAAATTGCTTGCCTCTGTCATCCTTCACAGACTGACTGGCACTCGTGAAAGCCAGATTCGTGAAGAGCAAGCTGGATTTCGTCTAGGTCGTAGCTGCATTGACCACATCTTCACCTTGCGTCAGTTGTTGGAGCACCGTCACACATATCAGAGGCCCACGGTTGTCGTGCTCCTTGACATAAAAGGTGTCTTCCATTCGGTTGATCGATGTGCCCTTTGGGATTGTCTACTTAGGAAAGGTGTACCTGAGAAATATGTGAATATTATCCGAGCATTATACGCGCGTAGCTCGGACAGGGTGAGGGCTTACGGGGTTGTCATCGCCCTTCAATATCTCCAGCGGCGTGAGACAAGGATGCCCGCTGTCACCTTTCCTCTTCAACTTCGCCGTTGACGAAGTCATAGAAATCGCGTTCACAGGACACGACTTAGAAGGTGTGGAGCTACTCCCAGGAGAACCACTTCTTGACTTAGAGTATGCTGATGATATTGCCCTGATCTGTGACAGCTCACAAACGTGCCAAGCGGCACTGGACAGATTAGCACTAGCTGTCCGTCACTTCGGGCTTTGCTTTGCACCATCGAAGTGCAAAGCGTTTCTCCAAGATTGGACTGGACCGCCTCCTTTGTTTACCCTTGGTGGGGATCAGCTAGAAGTCGTTCAGAAATTCAACTACCTGGGAAGTTGTATCAGCGCCCGTGGGATGGAAGATGAACTCACGAATCGTATAGCAAAAGCTCGGGGGCGCTTTTGCTAACCTTCGCCACTTGTGGCGCCGGCGCGACATCACTCTTGCCCTGAAGGGTAGAGTGTACAATGCAGCAGTACGTTCGACGCTATTGTACGGTTGTGAAACCTGGCCGCTTAAAGCAGCGGACCTGAAGAGGCTAGTTGCTTTCGACCACCGGTGCCTTCGTAACTTAGCTCACATTTGGTGGGAACACCGCGTGAGCAACGAGCGTGTTCGACGCCTTGTTTATGGCACAGGAAAAGGAAATGAACTGCTCAGCACCGTTATTTCACGCACCAGGCTCCGATGGCTCGGCCACGTGTTACGCATGCCAGTCTCCGACTCCCGTGACGTGCGTTGTTTGCGCGCCGGGGGTGTGGATGGAAGAAGAGGAGGAGGGGCCAAGCGATGACTTGGTCCACAGGAATGAAGACCCTCACTTCTGAGCTGGCCTCGGTTGGAGCTTCACAGCTCCCTGGTTGGGGTCCGAAAGACGGTGAACACGTTTGATTGGACACACTTGCTGATATGGCTAGGAACCGACCTCAGTGGCGTTCGTGCTGTGAGTTTCTTTGCCCCACCCCATCCCTCTTAGCCTCCCCCTCCAACCACGATCTCATTATTTAGCCTTATATAATTTTGCATAATAATTTTTTTTGGGTGCACAGCAGCCGGCTGGTAGCTTACCGCAACGATGCCCATCCGTTACCGGTAGCTCAGCCAGCTTGCACCAGTTGCATTTTTTTCTCCTTTTTTCTATGTATTGCAGCGCAGTAGCTGAGGTGTTCCCCACCTCTAGCTAAGGTGTATGATGATGATGATGATGATGATCTGGTGAACATGCGACCAGTGACCTTCAGTGGTCTCCAGTGAGCGCTTACTCCACTCGCATGTCAGCGTACTTTGATAAGCATTCAGAACAGCTGGCTTTGTCAGTTGGCTGGTGTCAATGCGCTCATAGTGTCTTCGAGGGCGTCGGCCGAAACACATCTGCAAGTCAGCACATACAAGTGCATGGTTGGTATCCACATATGTGCTCCAAATCGGGCAACAGTTCTGGATGCAACCTCTCCTGCGGTAATTGATTGCGATGTGATCGAGTTGCGTCCAAGGCTGGTGGGCGCCAAGTGACCCTCCTGCGAGTGCTGTGTCGGAAGCTAGTGCTCGCAAGAAATAAGCAGGCATCTTCACACAAATAAGGTAACGGCTCATCGTTATCGTTACGGGAACGTACAGCATGTTGGCCGAGCAGATGCAATTCATCAGTGGACAACTTTCCAACTTGTGCGTTCAGATCCCCCGCCAGCACTACGGTGTCTGTGCTTCTTCTGTGACGAAGGAGCTCGGTCAGTTGGCGGTAGAAGTCGTTTTTTACCCAATCATCTCTACAGTTTGTGGGCGCGTAGGCTGCGATGATAAATAGACACCCATTAGTCCCCGCGCGATTTCGAAGCTTTGAACGAGCCAGCCAATCGGACTGCACAAGTCTGGCTACTGACTTGGCTGCAATCAACCAGAGCAGCTTCAGCCCGGGGACTCAGGGCAATGCCAACACCAGCTTGGCCGGTGCTCGAAGCTGCCTCGTCACCGGATAGGCGCAATGAGAAAATACTGATTATGTCACCTGAAATGGATCGCGGAGTGAGCACAGAGCTCGAGTCTTGCAGGCGGGTCTCTGATAAGCAGCAGATATCGATCGAGAGAGTCTCCAATGTTCGGGCAAGTGCTGCCTGTTGACCGATTTGTAGCAGTGTACGTACATTGAGGCATACCAATCTGAAGGAGGATCGAGGGCTCCAAATGGAAGCCGACTAACTGGGGTGGACCGCTTGGTTAGACATGGGCTTGTCGACAGAACAGGAGTGACGCTCCGCGTTTGCATGTCAGTTGAAACTAGAAGATGAACGCCTAGCAAAGCATGTTGGGGGAGGGCCAAGAATCGGGGGGTTGAAAACTGGGGGTTTAAAAGTGAAGTTGGAACAGGGTCATAAAGTGGAAAAAGCGTAAGAGGGGGAATATGAAGACGGGAAAGCTTGAGCAGTAGCATCCAAACCCCGATCCACCCTGCTCGATGCAGCAGATAGGGCACCGTTGATTATCCTCTGCGGTGGCCAGAGCATCAGGAATTTGTTCTTCGAAAAGTTCATAGTATTGAGTGGGCAGTATACTGTCAGATTGCCCAGGCCTAGAGAGGAGAACGATTAGGGTTCTCAACCAAAACCTTTGGTTCAAAAACAGACCGCAAGGCAGCGGTTTTGGCGTTGAGCTACAAGGAATGCGTTTTTAGGAACAAGGAACTACCCTCATTCCAACTGCCAACCTGGGGGAGCAGGAGGCTGAGTTTGTCTGGCCTCTAACCATTGACCAATCTAGTACGAGTAGCTATAAAGGTTCAAAAAAGCACCATCCAGCTTAGCTCAATAGATCACCGAGGCACACAAACATCGCACCACGGTAAGGTTCAGCCCTCCTCGTTAAGACGTAATTGTCCATAAGTGGTACGTGGTTGAGCAAACGGAACTTTTTCGGTGCTTTCTTTTGTTCTTAGAAGCTGGCTTGGTTATAAGCGCCTTGTACGCGCGTGTACACATCGTCGTTCGGACACGCTGGTGCCGTCGAACACCAGCAATGCTTCGCAGAGGTCGACGATCAAAGTCTTGATGGCGCTTCAGATCCCCAGATCGAACGGGCCAGCTCTCACTCCCATAAGGTGGGATGAGCTTTCCTGGCCTTATAAACACAGCGTCTCGGACTGAGGGATCCCCTTTTCTGATGCCCAGTATGTCACAGAACCAAGAAGATAGTTGTGGCTTTTGTAATGCGTGAACTGACTACTGTTGCTCTGCGCCCATCCATGCTGAGGTAACTGCCAAGATAAATGAATTGATCAATTACCTCTAGTTCCTGGCTGTCAAGAGTCAGTTAGTCGTCAAGGAGCTGATGGTGTTGCAACAACACTGACTTTGAAGGTACGAATCACATGCCAAATGATTGGGTTGTTCAAAGTTACATCGTTAAAAAGCAAAACAGTAACGCCTGCATAATCATGATCAATTAGTCTTTCACCAGTTGGCGCCTCAACGACCACACCGTAAGGTTCCGCAAGGGAACATTCCATGATGGAGTCCACGATGAAAATGAACAAAACATGGGGAATGTGGGCAACCCTGACGGACGCCACTTATTGTCGAAAAGATATCCGACAGGTCACCGTAGACCCTGACGTGACCTGTATTGTTCGAATATAGAGCACATTGGATGTTCATATATTTTGTGGGAACACCTTTCCGCGCAAGTATTTCGGACAGGATGGATTGACCGACTGAATCGAACACGCTTTTGAAATTGAGGAACGCAACTATTGTCTCTCTGTGATTTCCGTGGCGCAACTGTAGCCCCTGCCCGAAAGTGAATATGTGTTCTACAAAGCCTCGTTTTTGGCGGAGAAACTTGCATACTCTTCTCTGATCCAGGATTTCCGTTCCTCAGTGAGGCGACGAACGGGAATTGACTCCAGTACTTTTGCCACAACTGGCGTTAGGCTAATACTCCTGTATTTACCGCAGTCATTCCAATTGCTTTTTTATATTGCGCCATAATTGATTCACTCTAGTACTATTATTTGAAACCGGGTTATCACTCTCACATCATCCGGTCACTTTATCGGGCCCAAATAAGCTACAATTGGTGTCCTGATTTATATGCAACCGTTCTTCATTTTTACACTCGTGGTTCCTTTCCTCATGTTCGCTCATTTTTATTTCAGGAGCTATGGAGGCTGATCCTTCAGTCCTTTTAGAGTGGCTAGATTCTAAAAACAGCGATTTGCAGTTGACTGCACTCGACCAGCTCTGTGTGGAAATACTCTTCTCTGACAACGTAGATGTGTTCTGTGAACGATTTCCACCACTTTGTTTCATGCCCGTTCTCTGTCGAATTTTCATGGATGATCAGGTGCCACCGGCTGTTCTCGAGGCCAATGCAAGAGCGGTTTCTTACTATTTGGACATGCATCTGGAATGGTGCCGATATCTTACCCAATCCGACGAGGTCATCAGCGCTCTGGCGTCTCACCTCGAGTGCGTGGACATGAGCTCCAACAAAAGCAACGAATTTGGTCAACAGCTTATAAAGGTATACCCATAGGTTACTTTTGCATCTAAAATTATTACTTCTACGAACTGCTCCTGCTTTTTTGCATTTCATGAGCTGATGTGCAATAATATTTTCAACCAGCAGTTTAACCCTTTGAAATGGCCTCAACTTAAGACTTTTCACTCCTACCCAAATTCTGTTACTTATTATGGGCTGATTATAATGTTTCCTGAATTGACCTTCGTACTGCTCCCTAACCGAGTAGGTCGTCCTAGTAGGGCTGGGCCTTAACGTGATGCGATAACCTGCATGCCTCACCGATCCATTAAGAAGCACTCTAGTTTGCCGTGCTTGGGGTTTTTCTTATCGGTCTGGAATTATGCTCTCTGGGCCTTAATTTTTGATAAGCTTTCGCGCACAGAGGTCGGATTTCTGAAATGGAAAAAGATCACGTGACCTGATAGGTTTCCTCCATCCCTCTGCTTTTGAGAATCAGATCTTGTAGGTTATTTTCACGATTTATTCGTGAAACCGTCTCAACCGACTGTAGCTTCTTGGTTATAGTCTCGATGTCCATGAGGACTCACTTTGGGAACGTGGCATTCATAGTGGTATCAGTACGATCTCCATCTAATTTAAGTTACTTGTTTCTCTCTTTCCCGATTGCCCGGTCGGTGCCCGTAAAAGCCAGATTTGTGAAGATCAAGCTAACTTTCGTCGAAATCATTGCTGTATCAACCGCATTTTCATTGTGCGTCAGTTGTTGGAGCACCGCCACTTACATTGGCGACTTATCCTCGTGTTCCTAGACCTCCAAACTTCCTCCTCTTTCGGTGGGTCGATGTTCTCTCTGGGACTGTTTGCTCACGAAGGATGTGCCCGAGAAATACATAAGTGAGCACGTTAGGCACGCATTTCTGGTGAATCTAGGACTTATGACAAACTGTCGCTGCCCTTTAATATCTTCATTGGTTTGAGATAGGGATCTTCACTTTCCTTTCCCTCTTCGTTTTGTCTATTAACGAAGTTACGGAAGATGCATTCTCTGTACTCTGTTTTGACGGTATGTAGTTGATTCCAAGTGATTAACTTTTGGGTTTAGAATATGCTGACCATATTTCCCCATCTGTAACAGTTCACAAATGCGCCAATCGGCACTGGACACAGTAGCATCGAGTACCAGTCGTTTCAGATTGTGTTTTCCGTCCTCCAAATGCAGAGCTTTTCTCCAAGACTGACAGGGACCAACCCCCACTTTGACTTTTAGTGTTGGTCAGCTAGAACTCGCTCATAAATTCAATCATCTAGACAACTGTATCAACACAAACATTTGGGGCGCTTTTACTACTCTTCGCCACCTGTGGTGCCGACGCAGCATCAGTGTATCCTTCCACTCATCCTTAACGTAGGGTTGTGAGACCTGGCCTATCAGGTCGACAGAGAGAAAAGTTAGCTACGTTCGATCTTTGCTGCCTTCTCAGTTTAGCTCATGTCTGGTGGGAACACCGCATGGGCAGTAAGCGTGTTCGGCGTCGGGTATTTCATGCAGGAAGAGTGAGTGAATCGCTCAGTACCATTATATCACGCGCCGTGCTCCGATGGCTTGGCCATGTGTTGCGCACGCCTGCACACCGACTTCCGCGATGTGCGTTGTTTGCGCGTCGGGGGTGTGGATGGAAGATGAGGAGGGGAAACCAAGCATTTACTTGCTCAAGAGGAATAAAAACCCTCACTTCGAACATAAACTCGACTGGTGCCTCCCGACGATGAACACGTTTGGTTGAGTATAGTTGTTAAGATGACCAGAAGCTGACCTCAATGATGTTGGTGTTGTGCGTTGCTTTGCTTTGCTCAGTTCCCTCCAATCCCAGTCCCATTCTCGATGCGTAATAAAAATAAAACAATGCATAGCTTTGGTTGTCTTATTTTTTACTTGTTGTGTCCTTCCTGATTATCTGATCTAACTGTATTATGACACAATAACTTAGATGTTTCCCAGTTCTAGATAACGTGTAGGCTGAATGATTGATAACATGGTGATCTGCTGTTGTATAGTACTTAGTATGAAAGTCATTTAATCGAACTTGAAAAAAGATATGATGGCTATGATGGTCCCAAAGCTTTTGTCCTTATTTTCTCGGAACCGGCCCACACTACGTATTAGCCACCACTGCCAATGCCGAACAACATCGACCGGAAACCAAATATACTTCTATTCCCCCTAGAGCGATTTTGCTGTTGGGCGAATACCTGGTCACGTTAGCTTGGACGATAGTTACGCGTAACATGAGCACGGTCCCTATTCACGCACGTATTTTGGTGACAGGCTGTCTGCAAACAGGCAACGATACGCACACGGCCAAGAGACTGGGCGCGCGAGGCTTAGACGCACACGCAACACACGGCTAGAGCGGCGCTCACGATCACGTGACCACGCGATCCCCAACCACCCACAAGAAGAAGTGGACTTCTGAGAGTTCTCGTACGACCCACAAAAGCCGTACCAAAGTTGGCCCAATGATTCATTTTGTGGGTGAAATGCGTCACCACGTAGGGCTGGTGGTTTTCGAAAGAACATTGTCCAATTGTGCCCCGACTCCTAGTGGCTGGATCCTGCTACTTTGTGGGCAGGAATTCAACTCTGCGTCTCGCAGCCCACGCACTGGATTTTGTGGCACATTTTGCGGGGTTACTTGAGGTGCCCACAACAGGCACCTCGGTCAGCGGCGCTGTTGATTTCGCTTACTCTCAGTACAACGGATAAATAGTGCATTTCCAAGTGTAGATAGGGAATTTAGCGAGTAGGCGTTACTTTACTTATTGATCACGCCAAAAACCCTACTCTACTTTCCAGGTATATCTCAGTATGCTGCCCTTTGCATTTGCACGGGCTTCTAATTTCGAGACATTGGTGTGGGATTTTTATTTCCTTACAGTGGACTTCATCACAACTGCACTTACACTTTACTTTGTTGTAACCGATCACTGGATACCACTTGAGCGAATTCGTTTCGTTATTCCCACGAGTTCAACACCTCTTTGTGCTGTTGTATGGACTCCGTTTTATCTGATTCGGTTGCGCACATCCTGTGTTTGGGGATATTCGCATGCTTCATAATGTACCTTACGAACACCTCCATATTGAACAGTTTGAGTTTTATACACTGTGTGAACTGGCTTCGCATGTCACTGTGAGATCAGTTTCCCATTTGCAACCCAATAAACACCTGCCTGCTGCCTAAAGTATATGTATTTCCTCCTCTTGGATTGTATCAGTGCTTTCCACGAACGTTTCACTGCATCTGTCAGATGATGGAATGACTGAGTCCCTCGTGGCATTAATTAAATACTTTTTTGCATTCTGTGGAACAACCCTGTAGGTGAGTCCATTAAAATTTAAATGGAAACGAGGGATCGTAGAGGCACCTTTTACTGCCAAGTGTCTGGCAGCACTTCTTGGACTGTAACACACTCGCATGTTTTGTTTGCTCTCGAAAATAGCGTCCATCAACATTGGTATTACTCTGGTAACGTTGCTACCATGCATCAACATCCCACCTAGATAAACGGTGGTTGCATACAGCCGGTCCAAGAAAATCACTCGTTCCAACATTATGTAGTCTCACGACTGCATTGTGGGACTGTTTGCACAACGGTCCAGTCGCTGCGTGGCTCGTATTTTTCCGAAACTTTGCCTTTGGACTCCTTTCAACTGAGCTACCTGCTCGTGAGCTAGAAACCTTGTGTGTACTTGAACATATTCGATCACTCGTTGTTTCACACCTGCTCATCAGGTTTACAGCGTATTGACCTTTCTCGGCCTTTGTAATACTCCTTCGCAAGTTTCCAAAGTAAAGATAGTTCCCGGTGAGTTGAAGCACCCAAGCCAGTCAGTTGAATTCGCTTTGCTTGGCTTATTAAAACGGGAGCTTACTTGCGCCCCACATGCCATATTCCATTTTGTCTGCAGTTTACCATTCTGAACTAGTACGTTAAGTTCACCAGGAAGACACCTTGCTTTTACGCATTTCACTGGCCGGGCTGAGTTGATAATGTCATATGATATCTGCACCACCCGTTGGATCACGATCTCCGCTCTAGGGACTTACCGTCATCCTGTAGTCAAACAAAAGGATTGGCTCGTGAAGATCGTTTGTGACCTGGACTCAAATCGTCTGCTATGTTTGGCATGGTCTCTTTGGCGAGTGGCACCGCATCGGGCACTGGATACCCGAAATGTCGATGAACCTGTTGCATTCCAGGCTGCACTTACACTTACCTATCTGAGTATCCAGGTTACTTTAGCTAATCTTTTTGCATACACCCGCTGCCGATAACGGAGATATCGAGGCAAGATAGTTTATCAGGCATCTCCAGTTTCTCGTTGTCAATAATCAATTGGTTATCACGTGGCCGGTAGTTTTACATCATCAATTAACATTTTAAGGGCTAGAATGGGATACTATGAAACCACTAGGCAGTTTTTCATCGGTTAACTCTGCCGCCCGGTAATTGTCAAATAGCAGGTCAGTGTCCATCGCCATATGCATATCAACTGGCTTCCTCTGAACATACTTTTAATTCCTGGTAGCAATTTGTATGATATCTCGTATGGGGCCATTTTTACAATAAAAGCCTGTTATTTACAACGCATGTCGTAGTGTTCATTTCTCGCGTCGCTGAAACACCATGATTACGTTCAGTCTTTTGAGGGTCGATAGCTAGATCCTCATTAGTTTGTATCTCCTTCATCTACAACGACACTACGTTCCGTCACTCCCTAATCCATCCCACAATGGTTCAATCGTTTCTTCTTGGGTCAGCATCGAACAATTTATTACCAAGATGTTGTATGATACAGGGTTAACACTTATTGAGTTTAAGACCAGAGATGAATTTTCTTACCGTTAGATTGGGAAGCTTTTCATCTTTCAGGCTCGAACCCACGCTACGCATTCCAAACTTGGCTCGATTCATTACAGGAGCTGGCTCTCATTTGGCATCGACTGCGCGTTTGATACTGTCCCCCTGCCCGGTTTCTTATTTAAATTTCACTCAACCTAGACTTATCCGTGGTATAAGGTCACTTATGAAGCTGTGTGCTTATAACTCCAGGGAAGCTGTCCCATCACTGCTGTCTTATCTGCACACCGTTGCTATCTGTACATCACTTTACTTTGTTGAAACGTTGACCCTGAATGTTTGCCTATTGTCTGTAGCTTTTGTACCTTTGGTCCGCACTCATTCATCTTCTTTTTCCTTATCAGTAGTGTCGTCCCTATAAACTTGTGATTGAATTGTGGCAAAGCACCGGTACGAGTTGCAGATGTGACGCTACGAGTGACACAGATATTTCGATGTTGCTTGGCCAAGGTCTTTGCGAAACGACCAATTGACCCGATGACATGTTCTCTCCTTATAGACATCGGAATTGCAACCGTATGCGGTTATTGTGTGCTCACTGCTCTAGCTTTTTCATGTGTCATCTTATCGACTGCTCAGTTTGCAGAAAAATCACAACTGTCACCCCTATGGTGGGTCAGCCTGTGCTTAAAGAGGAGATGGGGCGTCCGTGTTGTGTGAACCAGATGGGTAACTGGTCTGAATCCGCTCAGGTGCAGGTGAACTCGCAACATACCAAGCCTACACGCGCGACTGATGCTGGTTGCGAAGCGTCGGTACACTGTACCGGCGTACTGCTAATGCATATTTCTCCACTCCGATGATTTTGGTTTGTGGAGTTTTGATTTCCAAGACGCACACTCGCACACCGACGCGTTTCTTGTGAATCTCTATGAATGATTTGTCGTTTGACTTTCTGTAGGTTCACGTTAAAGGTTACCAAAATGACTGCTTCCTGTGCTTCGGCAGTTCGAATGTCCCTAATCCATTGTAATTGGCTCATTCAAACTCTGTAGGATAGTAAAACTTCTTCTTCTGGGTGCGAAGATCGACATCATAAAGTCACTGAGCTGATCAGTTGGCCCATGTTGTATATTTAGGTTTCCCTGTCACTAAAAGTTCACTACAACGACTTGACCCTGCACCCTGCTTTCCATTCGTTGGATGCTTGACCACTTTGTCTCATTTCATTTCTCTTGCGGTTATGCCCACCCAGACAACATTACTCTTGACGTTTTTACTTAGTTATTTCTAAAAAAACCTAGTCTCTTTAGCTTTAGCTTTAATTTCAGTTTTGAAAACTAGTCTCTCTTTTCGAATCGTATATCTTTTGTGTGACGTTTTGCTGGCATATCACTGGACTGATCGACATAGAGGAATGGATGTGCAAACCACATGGTCACCTCGTTTTAGATTATCCTCAGGCTAGTTTCTTCTAATAAAGACGATTTGTAATCAACACTTCAGCGGTTAGCTACCGATTCGATGAAGGCGATGAAAGCCGCAACGAAAGTGTCTCGCCGTTACTACCACATCTTTGCACGGTAGCCAGCATTTTATAACTACATCTTGTTGACAAGGTGAAGGCGCCTTTACCCTAACTGCTTGCTTATTCATTACGGTTTTATGCCGGGTCCCTTTTTTTCCACTTATTATTCTTTCTTCCGTAGATCATTGTGGTTGTGCAGTAGCGATGCATCAGTTTAAATGGCTGATGAACTGCTGTTGTCGTTTTTATTATTGTCGCCGTCGTACCGATTCAGTTCACGTGGATTAAGTTTAATACCAAGTATAGTCGACGAACTGGAGCTTTCATTTCTCGGCAATCGATCTAAATCAAACGGGTTCGATCACGATCACTGGGTCTGAGCTTGTTAACTTCGAGCACTTCACTTCCCAGCCTTTTCGGTGGTGCATGTGGTGAACCATTTGGTACATCTTGATCTTTTACTGCAGTTGGACGCTAATCTTGTCACCACCGTTGCTGTTATAATCTCGATTCGCCATTTGATCTGATACCACTTTCCCACCGTCGAGCTAACCGATAGCTGTTCCCCCGTTTCGTAACGTAAAGCTTCTCCATTGCTCCTACACACTTTTGTGTTGATAACTTCGTTTAGTACCTGGCGCCGGGACTATACGGTAGAGTAGGTAGTTTCCTGGACAACTTTATTAATATTCAGATATCTTCTCCCAATCCTCCTCTACTCGTGCTAGCTTACTTGTGCAAGACCTGACAAGGATCTGTTTGCTGTGTTTGCCATGATATTTCGTGCTTCAGTCAACACTGAACACAAAATCTTGTCTTATAACCGGCTTTTGGTGGTGTGTTGATGAACCCAACGCGGTATGATCGTTCATATGTATGTGCTTTGCACACATTTTTAGTATTGTGTGTGAAGTGGAACATCATTTGAGGTTTCATCCGGATTAGTGTCCCACTAAAACGCTTCACTGAATACCTGTTCATACACCACTTGTTCTGTCATTATCATATGCTGGCCCCGAGTTACGTTTTGCTCATCGTTTCTACTTGTTTTACTTTCTAGCTCATGAAGATTATTTGCAGTCAAGACTCAAAATGTCTCTACGCTAATGGTGGCCTCACTGCCGTGTTGCACTTCATTCAAAGCAACGCATCCCTGCTGCACACCGATGTTTTACGGGCTGGTATGGATCTAATCAGACGATTGTTCAGCAAAGCCAACCCAAATGATGGCACTCTGGCTACCTGGATGCAGTCACTGCGTGCACTTATGGACTGCAGGGAACCTGGTGTGGCGGACCAAACATTACGAGCCTTTGCCAATCTAGTCTCTCGGTTCGCACAAACAGGCGCCGACCCTAGCCCCATTGCTGATCCCCACATAATCGATTGTTTACTACGCCGACTCCGTGTTGCAGGTGGTGTCGAAGCCGTCAGTCATTCGTCTGAACCAGGAACGATGACCTCCAGTTCAAGCAGTGGGTCCACTTTTCGACTACTTGATTTTTCTACTGTCAATTTCAATTTTGCTAGCTAAAAGATTGTCACTTTGCAGACCTATTGCTACTCAACGTTGGACTTTCTGCTACTTGCTTGTGTTGCAAGTAGGCAGCTCCTCGCTGTGGCTCATTATGAGTGTCTCAACTGCCCCGATTGTTTTCAATCTGACGTTTATCTTTTGTCACTGCTTTCTCTTACCTCTTCGTACAAACGAACATTTGTCATGCTACCTGTTTAGGTCGTTGCCAAACGCGCCTAGCCATTTGTTTCGTCAGATTTCAGTCGGAAGGATCGGATTGACACGTCTTCGTAGCATGCATTAAACCAATAACCGTCCGACTCATTCACGTATCCTGGAATTTTATCACCCATTGGTATGTTTACTAAGATAAACATCGCACATTTCAGTGTAGGCCATGGGCTTTTCGAATTTTTAATCACCTAATGAACTGGCTTGGATAAACTTGTTGACTAGGGCTTTACCGGATATGTGGTGTACTGTCTGTTTGAGAGCAGGTTGCGAAACACCATCCACGAAGCCTTAACTCGAAGCTACATCAATACAGTGTGATCATGGTCACTACGAATCAGTGCTGTGGTCCGTGTACGTTGAAAGGCTTAAACCGCTACATGTATTTAGTTACCGATGCACGCACCTTATTTCCCACTCCTACTGGACACATTATATGCTTAATGGTGCTATCTATCGGTTGCTGCTCTGTGTCGGCCAGCGATCGAAAGGATAACGTGTCTGCTTTGTAATCCAAAGATGACCGGTTCGGATATGTTTATGTGTAGGCAACCTCACAATCTCCCAAATCCACTCGCGACTGGGGATGATCACGTGACAGCCAGGCGTCAGTACGGTGTACTGCGAATCCTTCCTTCTTCCTCTTCTCTACAGTGTTATGTGACAGACGTGCTAGACCATCTGCTGAACTTCAGTCGCCCTTGCTGTCCAGAGAGTCTTGTATGTTCGGAACACACCCATGACCACACGTGTTACCGTCCAGCACTGCACTGTTTGAAGATGAGGATCATGAGGAAACCGATCGAACCTTGGGCACTCTTTTGCTTACCAATTCTTGATTGCGGACCTCTAGTTTGACCACACCAATGTCTGAAAGTGCACGTGTATGGCGATCGGCAGACTGTTAGGTCTCTGACCTTTTTTCCTCGTACCAGTGTTTCTATTGCCTCTATTCCCTTTGTTTTATGTTTTCGTTTTTCCATCTCGACTTTTTTTCACTTTTGTTGTCAAGCCGATATTTTGCTCACAGTCGAATTACACTAAATCAAAAGCATGTACTTGTCCATGTTTGCACTCACCACGTACTCCCACCGGTTGCCGAGACCATAACGCTAGCTTACGGTAGGTGTGTTTCAGATTTGTGGGTTACTCATTTTACTGCAGCGTACAGATGATGAGCTGCTGTACTCAACCGATAGCATCTACTGCAATGTTTTTGAGTCTCTGCATACTCTATGCTTACCGTCTATCCGCTGATCCACTTTCCATATCCTGATGCGACGTAAGAAATTTCTGCGCGACTTAAAATTTCGTATTTGTTTTTCCACTTCTTACTCAGCAGCTCCCTCGGATCATATCGGTACAGGAGACCTCCATTCCAGCCGTGATCTCTCCCTCAACTCAGAGTGCAACCCCCTTGTGGTTCACGCTATCACAAACATACTCATCACTCTGTGCTGCACCTCTACAACACTGACTCAAAAGCTTTTGACTACTGATGGACAATTCGCAACCACTTTGGCGATGGTAATGCAGCGCAGCGACGACGAAGCTGTGGTGTTGAGTGTTCTGCGCTTGATTAACGTACTTTTGGTGCTACTGTATCAGAGCCCCTCCGCAGATGCACCTAGTTTACCAACTTCCCAGCCTCCTGATGACGCTCAAGAAGATGGTGCCACTGGGTTACGAGCTCAAAGCTTATCACTACCAAAGTCACCTATTGTTTCAGAAGGAATTTCATTAAAGACCTTGACAGAAAATATTCCAGACATGACTTCACAGACGGTCGATGAGTATGCGTCCGATAAAGACACTCGAAGTGGTTGCCAGAATAGGGATTTACTTCATCGCCCCGTAATTGAAGCCATTAAACGTCAGGATTTGGGTGAGTTTTGGATTTATCGCAATGCTATACTTCTCCTGAGTTCTCATCGTTATTATGGTTGCTATCTCTAGCGCGATATTCAGCTTCAATCTCTATCTTCACTCAACTGGCTTCTCTTACCCCTCTCCTTCCTGCGTTTTGCGGCTTTCAGGCGTACTTTCTTCTTTTTATCGACATTTGATTGTTCGACACTTTCCACCACATCAGTTCGACTCCAACATGTTCTTATTCTGTTACGGTGTATAAGTTGCATTGTCAGTGCCCTCCATGCGAGTTGTCATGTGTCCCTTGACTTTGTCGCAGTCGGTTCCATTGATACGTTTGGTGTCGTCCCCTAGTCACATTGCCTATTTAACAAGTGTCTGATGCTGTTACTTATGGAGCGGTAACTCATTTTGACGCATGGCGGTAAAATTCACAAGGAAGCTATCTCGTTGGTGCCGCCTTATCTTTGCATGATAGCCAGCGTTTTGTGACTGCGTATTGTCAACAACATATAGGCGCATTGACCGTTTGCTTAGGGCATTTAGGTTCTAAATTTAGTTCTTATTATCCCTAATTCCTTACATCACTGTGGTTGTACTGTAGGAATGCACCGGTTCCAATAGCTGCTGTACCGCTCTTTTTTATTCATTGTTGTTGTTGTTGTTGTCGTTGTTGTTGTTGTTGTAGAGGTTGTCGTCGCCGTTGTTGTCGTTCTTGTTGCCGAAATTGTCCACCAAATGTCAGTGCTGAATGCGATTGGTGAACCGAACACTGTTTGGGATCGTCTGAAATGTGCCATGAAAAATACCTTTGACCCAAGCTGTGCACCCAACTTGAGACGTCGTAACTATGATTGGATCTCTGGGGCATCGATCAGTTTGATGGAAGCACGGTAACAGGTTCCTATGGGCGTCGAGTTTCAGCGTGTCTGTAACTCTCTGAAACGACGTCTGACAAGGAGTCTTCGAATCGACCGAGAACGTTGGTGGATGGTAAGGGACCGTGAGATAGCAAAGGCCAGTACTATTAGGAACATCCGAGAGAGGTACTCCAGCTCATCCGGAACACGGGTTCGAGAAAACCATCCGTTAGCGGGACAGTAGCTGAGAAAACGGTCAGCTGATCAATTCTCAGCGTCATCGACTAGCTAATTGGGCGAAACATTTAAAGGGCAGTTCTGCAGGACCGCTGCAACCTTACCGCTTACTGAATCGCCTGAACCGTCATGGGAAGCAGATGTGACACCTCCCACTTTGGAAGAGACTCGACATGAGCTTTCTGTGTTGAAACGAAACAACGCTCCTGGACCCGACGACCTTCCTCCATCTTTGCTGAAAGATTGTAGTGACTCTTTGTTGATTGGACTCGCTTCTCTACTTATCGCGGTTTGGAACACTGAAGTGGTGCTTTCAGACTGGCGACTGTCGGCTGTCGTGCCCAGCAAGAAGGGTCAGCGTATTCTGTGCAAAAATCCTCGAGGCATTAACCTTGTTTCCGTTGCATCCAATCTTCTTACGGGTATCATTACCTGACGACTTACTGACCCCCGTTAGAACCGAATCACTGAAAGCCAGGATGGCTTGCTCCCTGGTCGTGGTTGTATCGACCACATATTTACTCTTCGCCAAGTGTTGGATCAGACAGACACATAAAGACGACTAACAGTAGTGATTTTCTTTGACTTGATAGTCGCCTTTGACTCTGTTGATCGCGCCAGCTTGTGGCACTGCCTGCCCACCACAACTGGGGTTCGCCAGTGTTATCCTATGGCTTCCTTCTTCAACTTTGTTATCGAAACGATCCGTTCTTTCAGACTCTACCGGAGTGGAGGTTCTGCCAACTGACCAACTTACAAACCTTGAGTAGGCAGACGACAGCTCTTCTTGGGTCCGACGCGGTGACTATGCAAACACTACTGGATAGACTGATGCGTAGCGCTGCACGCTTCGGAATGTGCTTTGCACATTCAAAGCACAAAGCACTGCTGCAGGACTGGACTGACACACCTCCGGTTCTAGCTATCACCGAACAGCCACTGGAACTGGTGGATCGGTTCACTTACCTTGCTAGCTGTGGCACCTCTGGTGCTCAAATCACTGAGGAAGATACTTCGCATATCAAGGCTTGTGTGGCTTTCCACAGACGCAACCATCTATGGAGACGGTGGAATACCACCCTGTCAGTGAAAGGTTGGCTACGGTAAGACCGATCTTAGTGTACAGATGAGAAATTTGGCCACTTCGCGGCAATGACATTAAACGTTTGACCGTGTTTGACCACCGGTGCTTGCGGTATTGCTCACGTCTGGTGGGAACACCAGGTGAGCAATGCTGTGACCCGCCAATTGGTTTTTGACAAGTAGCCTTCTGGTGCCTCGCTCCATTATTTACTGATTCTTACTCGCTTACATTGGCGAGGCCATGTCCTCTGTATGCCCATTGATCGGCTTCCTTGGTGTGCATCATACGCCGTGGCTGCACAAAGTTAGGCGAAACCTCGAGGTGGCCAGTCCAAAACAGGGTATGGAAGCTTGAAGAAATTGGCTCAGAGACATGGTCTGGCTGGTGCTTGCAGTCTTCGTGGATGGTGGCCACGGGGCGGTCCACGTCAGTAGTTGGACACCCTGTCATACATGACAGTCACGAAGTCAGTGGCATTCCTGCATCCCACTTCTTTCATCTGATTGTTAATTTCTCTTCCGTTCTGATTAGTCTAACGCGCTTCCTTCTTGCTTTCATTTTCTCTACCTTCTCTTTGAACCCAACCCCACTGTCCTACCGGTGTTGTTTATTGTTATTCTTACGATGTGAGTCGTGGCTACTGGATCCACTGCACTTCGGTGCTCGGATCACAATTGTTTGACTGAACGGAACTGTTCTTGTTGTTTTGTTATAAGCTGTTAGGGAACCGTAAACCCGGCAAACTGTGTGCCTTATAAATTTGACTCGTTGACGCTTTTTCGGAAGCAGAGCAACAGTTGAGCACCTTCTCCACCTTCCCTTCATTTGGTGTCATTTGCCTAAGCCCACCTCGGCTTGTGTGCTTTTTATCTTTCTAATTCTTGCTAACAACTGAACTTTGATCATGCCATCATGAAAGGGCTCTGAGGCCAGGATTCAACGAAGTTTCGCAGCTTCTTGGATCGTATGGTTTGCTACATAGTGCGGTGACCTTGGCTGTCTTTTAACTGATGGCCCGCCTAGTGTTTCTCCATCCGGCTAATCGTTGCAACATTATTTATCTACAACCGTCACTGGAACAAACTCTAAACATCACTATGTGAACCAGATGTTCGCCTGAAGTTTTCTCCGATATATTAAGGGGCTCAGTGTTCACCTGCATGTTCTTTCAATGCAGTCCGGTCTTTTTTGCATAGTATCTGTCGAAATGTTATTATCTTACTTCAAGATTTTTTGCGAAGTGTCCTGGCGTCTGGCTCAATCGATGCAAACTATACCGATCACTTGGGGCAGACGTTGCTCAACTGGGCTGCTTCGTTTGGCACACCTGCGATTGTGGAGCTGCTATGCTCTCATGGCGGCAATGTGCATCACGGCGTCCGTAGTGCATTGGATTACGCTGCCACGTTCGGACGAGTCGAAGTGTGTCGAGCGTTGTTGTCCTTGGGAGCCGATCCGAATCTTCGTGATGACCAAGGTCTTCGTCCTATTGACCGTGCTCGTAATCACTTACCATATCCTGGATGCCAGCAAGTTATCGACTTACTCGAGTCGGAAATGAAGCGTGAGTCTAATCTTTCCCTCGCCCACTAGTGCACTTCACCTACTCAGCGAGTGCTTCGTACAGTTTCTCTGGGCACTATACTCTCATGTCGAAATTGGTTTGACTGCCTTTCTATAAAACCCCAATGCTAGATATCATGTGAACGACAAACCGTATTTATTTTGTATGGGTTCAATTTTGAATATAGTTTTCGTGCTGGAAGTGGCGATAATTTACGCCAAAGTAAGTCATAGCCCAACTTGAAATTATTTCATAATCCAGACACACTGCGGTTGTTTTGAATCTCAACAATGGTTATGGTGCCACTTCGTAGCACTCACATCATTTAGTATCTCCCACGCTTTTATCAACCCGGAATTTGCTTGTACAAAGGGCTGCTCCGCATTCCAGGCAAGTAGATCACGGGTAACTTTAATTGGACAGGCGCGCTTTTCCAGCTCTCGCCAAGCTGCCATACGAATCTAACTTTCATTGGGTTGGAGAATTTCCGACGTAAAAGGTATTTTCGCTTGACTCTACTTGTGTAAGTGAATAAGGGCTAATGTACGGTCGATGTACCTTCTGTCTGGATGTGGACCTGTAATCTCATGTAAGGCTCCCGATTAACATGCTATATACATCAGCTAGGGCTGTCGTCGAACCTAACGGTGTGATGCATTTCGCACGGAACGTGGACAACCATGAGTTCGAATGCCTACGACCTCCCCCCTTCTTATCGTACGAAAAATGTAGCTCCGCTGACCAAGTATAATTAGCATGGCAATCTACTTAACCCGAGTCAGGTTATCATGGTAACGATAGCGGCCAAGACGATTAAACTGGATGAGAGATACGTACAAAGCGTTGTTCCAACAGTATTCATAAAAACGTTAAGACAATAAATAATAATAATGTCAGCTGTACACCGTAACGGCACTTCGCTGCGGTGCGACTACCACCAGTCGCACGCGAGCTGAGTATACCGCGAGGACGCCCACTCCTACGCGGATTCGAACTCGCGTCGCAAGATTACGAGACAAGAACTTTAAGATGCCTCATATAAAGCAGTGGGATCAATGAAGCTTTGCTCCGAGAGGGGACTTTTTGTTAGTTTCCAAATGTGTATTCGGTGTCCAATTGGAATCTACTTGACGTCGATCACACAGCTTCAGCTTATATGTTTTCGGAAAGGGTCAGCGATTATAGGACGTAACTTTAGTGAACTGTATTTGCTTCGGGTCTTGTTAAACGTTTACTATATTGTATCTTACATGGAATTTTCTACCTCCATCGCTCTGTCCCTCCAAAATGTGTACCTCGATAGGATCAAACTTAACTGTTGTATTCAGAGGGAGCATCGCATTATTCATTATACTTTGCTGACGTTGCGTCTTCAAGTGCTGTTTCATAACCCTTCTGGGGATGATCACTATGTTTATTAATCTTTGAGATTCATTGTAGTATACATAAACTGACTGACTGACAGACTGTATTTATGTAACGGAGGCATTTGTGGTAACACCGCTTCGCTTACGATAACATACCGGATTTCTGGTGCGCACCCAGAGAAGCAAGATCAGAATAGTTGCGCGTGACCCGATCTTTAGTTCGATTGTACTCATTGACACTTGCAATGTGATTACTCGTGATCACGTGAAGGATCTCAGGTGCTAGAGACCAAATCAAAGTATGTATGGTTTATCGACGTGTCGCCTTCGCTGTGTTGTTTTCGATCAATTCCAGATGGCATATCCGACACGATCAGGCAACAACCCTATGCGTTTATACTATCGCTGGTTATCACGACACTCACCTTTTCGACCATTGTGGAAGGCCTCGAAGTACCAGTCCCTTCGTTCCATGTAACCACTGTCTCCTCACGGTAATGTCCGCAGTGATCGACTCACCATTTGGACATCTCGAATTGAATTCAGCTGCAGCATTGAGTACTCGTTTTACGGAGCATTTAGATGAACCCAAGTGGTCATTCGACTCCAAATTGTTATTCATCAAATTTTGTGATTCTGGTCATCTGAGTTGAATGTTTCGGTGCGTTTATACTGATTAAGACATAGTTAGAATGTGTGTAACTATTCCAAGTCGATTAGTAATCTCCTTCCAGTCAGCGCTACTTGTAGATGACAGGGATTTGATCGACTTGAGTCTGCCTGCTTTTCAATCACCGGATGCGGGGTTACGCGATGTTACAAGGTTGCACCATTGATGTATTGAGCCAATGCTATGTATGTGTGCGCGTGATACTAAAGTATCTTTTGCTTTCATGTATTCTATGAACGACCGCTTGGCGGTGGAGGCCGACGCAAAAATTTAGGATTGATGTGTAAAGGTCTTAAAACTGTGACATATCAGTGTTTGTTATTCCGGCATCACTCTCATAAGAGTATCCTATCACCGTCCCTCAGGCACAGATCGCGTTGTGACATCCCCCACTCGACCAGACTCCTCAAAAATGCCTATGGATCCAGACTCCGTCGGCCCTGCATCACATACTTTCAAGGACAATGCTTCTGGCTTTGCTGCCCAAAATGTGTTTCTCGATCGTCTGTTTCCTGTTATAGTCAATTTGTTTGATGATAATACTTCGTCTACCGTACGGTGAGTCGTACTGTTAATTTTCGTTTTCCATGCGTTACTTGTGTCTGGACACCAGGTTCTACTTAAATCACTGTCCCACGAATTTCCTATTGCTTTATGCACTGTTAGCTCGCCATCCGGTCCATTTTTGCTAGCTGAACTCCGACACTCGCAGTTCTCTGACACTGATCAACATCTCTTCCTCTTTGGTGCGAGCCTATTTTAGACGGATTTCTTTTTACGAACTAACCTCTTTGCTCTCTCCCGGGCTGGCCTCCTCTTGGCAACACCTAGCTATCCTCTTTTACTCTTTGGAACATCTTCTCAGTCAGAGAATACGTTCATCGGCCAATTTGATACAGTATGGCCCGGTGCTTTGACACTTCATTCGTGTTCCTGCACAAGGCCGCAAGCACGTTCGAACAATTCCAATCACCACACCGGCCATAGTTTTCACGCTACACCGTTTTGAAGACTTAAGATGCTTTGTCGTCCATATTTTGACGCCCCGGCTGGCTGGCTGTTACATTTACGCACACTGATCCCGTAACCTTGGTCTTCACCGACTGGCTCTTGCACTTTCTGCTTGATCGTTCGTCTCTTACCGTCGATGGGTTCCGTTGCGGATGCTATTCATCAGATAGTGTCACAGACATCCTTAGACTCACTTGCATCGTTGCTCTTATCGATACGTTTCAATGGTAGTCACAAGTCTCTGCATCGCAAGCGACGCCTATTGCTACGTAGCCATCAGACACCGCATATTTGGACGCTACTCCCATACCATTCCGGTCTTGAAAGATTCCATAAGACAGGTGCGTTTGGACAGGTGGACATGACTGACGCGACCCCCCTATCGAACTGGATGTGCTGTTCCACAACTTCATCTTCCGATGCATCATACCTCAGTTATAACCTCAGGGCATTGGCTGGCACAGGCGTTACTGCACTATTTCAATTTCCTTCAGTGGCAACACACCGGCGCTTTGGGCGCAGGATATCAATACTTTAGACTACTATTACTCCGCAACAGAGTATCATTTTCCCCTGGCATTTATCTGCATGCAACATAACTACTGCCCCCTAGAACTGATCAATATTTTCTCTCGTGTGACCATGGGAACCTTTTTCCTCATTTACCGATCCATTCGTCTTGAAATCCTTGGGTCTGCAGCCGTTGTGTGTCGTATAATGATTCCCCCATACATAGCCAGGGTCTGATGACAAGCGTTGATGGTATCATGCATTGGTTAGATTCCTGTGCTCCGGTTCCTCTCTATTTGGTTGGCGATCGATTTCTAACCGCTTTAAAGTCAACAGGTATCTCCGATTTATTTAAGTTCTACCACCCATCAAACCGCCAACCTTCAAGTTACCTGTTATCTTCGCATGGCTTTATAACTTACACACTTGGGAACACTTCCGGTATCGCAATCCAGGAGTAACATCTCAGATGACTTGGCGACTGTAGAATACCATTGCACATTGATTAGGGATTGTTGCGTCATTTGTAGGCGGAACTCAGTTTTTACTTACTCATTTTAAATGAATACTTTGCAAAAAAACGAGAATGTTGATCAATAGCCTCATGCCAGTTAGCCCGTTAGGGTTCTTTCAGTTTATCGTGGTAATCTTGTATGCTCTGTATTTGCCCGTACTGGTTCGGTCGGAGGCATCCATCCGTCATTTGCTGATGTTCCTATAAAGAAAGTCTGCTGATTTCCAGCAGCTACTTCGTATTACTGGTTCCGCGTATTCTTTCCCTTATGGTCTACTACATAGCACACCTGTGGTAAATTAAACGGTGGCACGGTGGCAAGTAGCAGTGTTTGGGAGGAGCCTCGTTAAACTGGGTTCACTAAACCTCGACCGGACCAAACTTTGCCCAGTTAGTTGTCATCCCAAACAGGTCAAATTGTGTACGTAAAACGGAGACAATATCATTCCTCAACACAAAATCTAATCGTGTCCGTGTGAACGTGTTTCGTAATCCATCAAACAGGTATGGCATATTTTTTGGCTGCAACGAACGTACATATCTTACTTTTTCACATTCGACCATCGGAATACAACGTACGCTTGAGACATTGTTTTTGTGTAATCTGCCTTGAGTGCTCTTGGATTCTTCGGAAACAACTTGTTGTACCAAGTTTGACGGATTGGTGATTGACCACGGATGAATAAGTATCAATCTTTTTCCAACTCCATATTTGAAACAATGTTTCAAGTGAAACAAACAGTCCGACCTTTTGAAACGAATGCAATGGAGACGTTAACCATAAGAACAACTCACAGGTTCCGAGGCTGTTTATTCCATTGATCATGACACCTGATAATATTTATCATTGTCAGTACCTCAACATACCCTACTAATCTCCTGTATTCATTTGTATGTGTTGAGCAGTTTCTTGTGAAATAACTGTTTCCTCTAGTCATCTCATCACTCTTACTGTGTGTCTGGTTGATTTTTGCCCGCCGATCGGGGCATCTCAGAATTTTTGCATCATGGGAACTTCATAATTCCACATAAACTTCGCATCGGATGCTTTTTCTAACCTCTAATTCCACCGTATTGTTGTCGTGTGACCAAAATTGCACAACCCCTTCTCTCTGACACTGTTATCAGATGGCGATTATTCCCGTTCTCACACCAATTCACTTTAGTGATGCCGTTATCGAGTGGCGGTTGCGTTACCCAATAAAAAGCTTAAGATACCAAGATGTGTAGTTGTCGGTTTGTCTTAATCTATACACGCACTTCCACTGAAGGAACTCTGCCTTTTTCTCTCGGGCTCATGGGTGTTCGTGGGGAGTCCGTGTTTGTCTCGGTACAACAACGTGGAAACAGTTTAGTGACTTAATCTCCCAAATCGTACCAATCTGAATTCGACCAGCCAGTTTACCGCTCTGAGCGCAATCCACAGGAGCCAAATTTTTCGCCGCAACTAAAAATTCATACAAGTCAGAGCGTTACAATATTGTCCTACTAATTGTTATCTCTCTCGTTTCACTCATCTTCCCCGTGTTTCACGCATCCAGAAATAGTTGCTTGCTTTCTAGGTAGCCCCTTCTGATTACGCCTCAGCTACACTCGGTGAGCCGTTGCGAACTTTGCAATCAGTTTGACATGGTAGAACCCTCCCCCAATGTTTCCTGTCGCCCACATTTCCTACCCTACCTGCTATCAAGCTTTTGTTAGACCCACGCCTATTCAGCCATCATTTTGGATGAAATCTTATTTCCCCAGTTGTGGAACTGCTTAATCCCATCATCCGTCTACTTGAATTCTCTCGCGGCTTCCACTACAATTGCGACCTACGACAAGTGCTCTGATATCGCTACTTCCAAAGCTTTCCCATTTGACTGACTGTGACGTTTACTTATTAATCTCATATAAATTCCGTCCAAGAACTCCACTTTATTCATGGCAACTTCTTTCGACACCACTTACCTGACCGGGGCAACAACACCTGTATGTGTTCTGAATTGCCTGCTACGGTGCCAGTCCATGTAGTCACTCCATCACTCTGGACAACAGACACGGTCCACCTTTTTGCCTGATATTTACTCCCCTGTCTTCTCCGTTTCCCAGACGACAGTGCATCCTTTTGGTCCGGAGAATGATTATTTTCGCTCACCTGGATCAATTGGAGAAGATTAGTGCAATGAGTGTCCGATCTCTACCTTTCTCTTTCTTACTGACCCAATTTATCTACAACGTTTTTGTTCAGGTTAGTCCGTTCCCTTTTGTACTGCTGGTTGTTTCTCTCCTTCAGACGAATTTATGCTTGTTGTTTTCCTTCGGCTGTTAGTCATATGGGTTTGGTTTGTCCGAATCGTAATGACACAGGTGACCTGCGTTACACACTATCTCTATGAAGTCGTTTGTTGACTTTCTGTTTGGCTCTTTTTGTAACACTTATGATTCCCTTTTTCTTTTCTTACTGTTTCCCATTTTGCATGGAATTAATCTTTAGCCTAGCTTCACCGCCTCATCGTATGCTCCTTCCTGTTGTGTAAGTTTCCTTGTCATCTCTCATCGGGATTTCTCTGTTATCGTTTGTTCATTCATGCTACATTCGCTAGTCGTTTCTCACTCTGCGGTTGAACACCATCGGCCATTGATCACGATTAGTGTGTTTTGGATTGAGTCATAGGAAACCAGAGGGGAGGCGATGTAATCGGCTCAAATTGTTCTGACCCATTTGCCACACATTTTTATGAGAACTGACCTCCCTACCCTTATCGGTTAACTTAAATTAGTTCCACGCGAATCTATGTAATCTGCTTGTGGCTTTTCTATTTAATATTCTCTTCCATGATCACTTCTCTATGTGTTTTCCCCGCTTATTTCTGTCAGGAAGTCGAGGAATTCGTTTTGCACACCTTGGAGCTGACACACTGTCTACTGCTGAAGCTCCCACAAATCTATACCCCGGTGTTTTACCGTTTCGGCCTTCTACCACTGATTAAGCAACTGTGTGATGTCTGGACATATCTTCTCCCCGAACCAGCTGATCTGTCGCTTCCACCCACCCCCATCATAAGAGTCAAGGCTTCTCCATTGAAATCAAGCGATACCATGAAAGAACCGTCGCCATCGGGTGCAGCAGATTCTCAAGTGGAATCTGCCGCCTCTGTCTCGGAGGCCAGATCATTGGTATGTTGTTCATAGTTAGTCTCATTATACACTCGCCGACGTTCACACCAGTCCTGCGCCTTATCCCTCACATCTGTTACTAATCGTTTTCTTATCAGCTTGTTTGAATTAATTCCATGTTATCACTTAGATTCCGACCATAACCAATACATTTTGATACCTTACGTGACTGGTGGTCTTTCAACAAAGATATCTGCAGTGTAGCACCATGAGCTTACTACCGATTTCCACCACATTCTGTTTGACACTAGACTCTGGTGCTCCACGCTTCCCTCTTATCGAATTCATAGTTCCGGTACTTGATCAGTCATACACTTCATTTGTTCCAACCGGCTGCCTTGAAGTTTCTTTAAAGTTGCAAGTCGCTGGTCGATCACACTCTAAAGAGCTCACCGAGAAACTGAATCTTGACGATGGTGTCCCCCGAATCAGCCACGTAGATGTTTGGAAATTCTATCGAGCATGGCACATTCACAAGGTCAAAGGCACTTTTGCATTCGGTCCCTTGCTTTTGATCCCCAACTCCCCCGTCTAACTTCTCAGTGATTTTTTGAGTTAACCCTTTCATTTATTTTCCTTTTCCTAATCGGCTTTAATCACGATGACAACGTGAGTCTCTTCGATTGCACTGGTCACAGGGATCGCAATTGACCGTCTGCACAGAACTGTCCCTCATTAATCTTTGCAGCAGCAGAAGTCACGTCGCTTTCCTGGTTAGTTCGAAACGAACAAATTCATTTAGCTGTACTTCGACTCCGTCGTCGCTAGAACACACTGTTGCAGCTTTTCCACCATGTACTTCTTTCAGTTTTGTTTCGGTCAACTTGGCTACATATTACGAAGGTGATTACGGAACCATCTAACGGCTGAGCCAACTTACTCGTTTCTTTCCACTAGATAGGTATAACGAAGTGTCTCTGTATGTGCATCAGAGCGGGTATACGAGGCTTAACATAGCAACCGATTGTTGTAACACCTATTCCATAATTGGTCAATTTTGGCTTGGAGCACTCAGAGGGGAGGTCCGGGGGGAGGTCCGCCCTGAGTGACATGTGATAAGGAGAGGCATTTTTAGTATCGTTGATTTTTCGACACCAAATATAAATGGGGAAAATTTTTCAATGAACTGTGGACTGAATATTTTGATGTAGCTCTCTTTGACTAGCAACACCTTTGCGTCATGTGTGTCACACTCGTGCAAACGTTCTTCCCAGCAATCCCTCTACTTGTCCTATTGTGATAACTTTCAGCACATTTAACTCAGTGTCCCAAACAATAATCCATGTTATCGAAAACTAATGTGCACTTTACCCCGAGCCGATTGTGTGGCCTTCACGCGTCTACTCTGCCTTCAGTCATTTCGAAAATTTCACCACCGTCCCGTTTGGCAAAAGTGGTTGCCACACCACTGGGAGCGCCGCTGTCTCTGACACGTCCTGCGGAAATTCCTCATCCACTTAGCTACTGTGGTTTGTACTGTGGCTCATAGTGCACCAAGCTGTCATCACTGCCAGGGGCCACTGTTTTTTTTTATCCACAGTTCAGCCTTCGTCCATTCTATTCTCTTCACTAGTAGTAATGCATAAAACGGTCACGCATGTTCCACTAGTAGTAGATTGGCGGTAGTACCGATTACTTTTCTCCCTTTTTTGATCCCCTACTCCACCCATACTCTCCACTCCACACACTGCGCACATCAAGTCAACCAGGATTGTCTTCACTGAATCCACACTGCGGCACCTCTTACATTTTCTTTGTTTATCCTTCCTCAAGCACTTTTTTCGCTTTAGTCTAATGATTACACTATCCTGTGCCCCCTGTAGTGACTATCGCAGTCGTTTTAAGGTCGCCCGATTGCGCGCTCCCGTTTCTAGTCCGTGTTCCACTAAAGCACACTTATTTATGAACCGCGCTCATTTTCCTGAACTTGCACGCATATTATTATGATGTGGTTCTTTTCCTAGCTGCCTTTTGACTTCTTTTTCTGCACCATTCTACGGCCATCCAGTGTGCTCACTACCTGACTTGGCCGAAGTATTCGGCAGTTAGTTCGTGTTTGATCCGAACTTTCACTCTGATGTAGCACTGGAACGCACATTTTTTGCACTTTAACCGTAGACGCTGTTTGATTCATTTTCTCTATATGACTACCCACAGCTTAATCCCATGTATGTGTGTGTGTGTGTATGTTATTCCCATGCACCATCCTTTACTTGCATTGTGACCAGTCGACGATGAAATACTGTGAGGCAATCGGCTAAAAGATTGCTCCCGAATGGCATTTACCGCCACGATAGCGCTCGGTCATAAATAGTTACCTAGCGTAGAGGTGTGAGCGTATCATCGAGACGTCTTTCGAATATCGTTAGTGTGAGAGGGGGAGAAACAAGGTAAGTGTGGAGGACGTTCCAGGGTTGGCACACACGAAGTAAAAGCAATTCCGGCGGCATTCCAACCGGCTATACTGTATGACCAGGTTCAGCTGGTCAGCTGATCTTGTGATTCATTTGCGGAAGGTGACTACAAGCGTGGTTGGGATTCATCAGGATCTGATATATCCTAATCAAATCGCCACGCAGGCATTGATAGTGTAGACCCAAAGGGTCCTCAGCCTCAGTTGGTAAGGGAGATGAGGCAGACCCTTTACATTCTTGGTCGCCCTTCTTTTTGACATTTCAAGCGCCTGGGCTATTACGCATGGATGACATATTACGTATGGGGTCGAATGTAGGCATTGAGCATCTGAGAAGATGGAAAGGTCACATCGCCTAAATGCCCTACGCAAATGGTCAAGGTGTTAATTGGCTTTTCTGGATGTTTTCTGAACCAGACGTGAGCAGCCATGATTGTCTCGTACCATTACTTCTAGGTCGCATTTAGTAGCAGCACACTACGAAACGTTATCCCTTAACCTGTACTCCCATGTGTATTGATAAAGGATGCTCAATGTCACACATTTAATGGCCTTGAGATGAAGCAGATTATGAGTCGCTCACTCATCTACCCTGCCAAGATCCTCCTGAAACGCTACGTGATCACCAGTTGCTTTAATGACTCGCCATGTCTTATGATCATCAGCGAGGAGTAAGAAATTGGAGATGATCTGTCTCGCGAGATCGTTCATGTACATCGGAATATACGTGGCGCAAGTCCCGGACCCTCAGATGCTCTGCACTGGACTTCAGTAGAGTCAGCGATGGCGCTGCGAGGTCTCACCTTCAGAGGTCATTGAAGCAAGATGTTGCTATCCAACCGAGGATCGGGTCAACAATTCCACAATTCTGAAGCATGTACAGGAGGATGCGGTGGTTCAGACGGTCGAATGCCATTAAGAAGTTCAGATAAACTGCGTCAACTCTCACACCGCTGCGACAGTGTCCTTACAACTGGAGCGATCATGTAGCAGTTTTCTGGTACAAGACGGGTTCTAGCGGAATCCATGTTGTTTAAGTTCTATGGGTTTGCATCCTTTTAACTAACCCTTAAGCACATCAGATATAACGGGCTTCACTAATTTGGAGAGCCCTGGCGGAAATGTCGAGCGATAGTTCGCCGGACCTGCGCGACTTCCTCCTAGTGAATGGGAGTGACGATTCCGTTTTCCACATTGTTGGAACCTGTATCTCATCGAGACATTGCTGGACGAACTGAGAGAGCGGATCCATCAAATTCATTTCAATCATCTTAAGCGCCTTTGAACGAATATTATCGGCACCAGGATAGGTATGCTAGCGCAAGGAAATTAGCATGTTCAAAACTTTTGCGGCACTAGATTTATACAGTGATTCCGCTGAATAACCTAGGCTTCCCATGGTTCGGCACCTGGTGTCTTTTCACCTAAATAAATCTCTTGGCCAAACACTTCCGCGTCCTGCTGCGTATGAATGACTTTGTTTTCATCGATCGTCGAGACCTGTTTCTCGAAGTACTCGTTACTAACTTCTTGAATTGATGAACAAAATCCTACCAGACGACCTTGTGGGTGGGTATTTCAGCTAGAAATGGCCAGCTGATGACATTTATGGATGTTATCAGAACACTGATCGGTAATGAGCTGAGACATGTCGATCCTTTATGCATGAACACTCTACATAGCGAATGTGGTTGAACAACTGTGTAACATCGCTGCGGCCCGGAGGAATTGATAACGTTTCAAAGTATGCTCCTCGTTGATGAACACCAGATCGAGGATAATTGGTTTGTTCCTCGCCCTGAGTCTTGTGTTTGGAGTAACATGGTTGTAGAGAAGCACTCCAATGATCAGGTTATGTAATTCCATTTTGAAGTGTCCATCTAGACAAGCTGAACTTTTTAGCGCATGACAATTGATGCCATCAAGTCAGAGAATGTAACTGTGCGAAACTAGTGTTCAGTGTGGAGGCTAGGTGATTGCCATTTCTGAAGTAGACGACGGAAGGCAGTACACGATATCCACTAAACCCGTATCACCATGTTTTAAGTGAAGAGAGTAGCAAAGCGCGTCAGAAATCTGAACCTCCGGGTCATCGGTCAGATCACTGCGGTGTGTTCGGCGTCGCATATTTGGTGCAGCAGGGGTGGGTGAACCGCTCAGCACCGTTATATCACGCACCAAGCTCCGAGGGCTAGGCCACATGTTGCGCAGACCAACACACAGACTCCCGCGTTGTGCGTTATTTGTGCCCCCGGGGTCTGAATGGAAGGAGAGGAAGGTGGCTAAGTGATGGCTTGGTCTAGAGTAATGAAGACTGTCACTTCGAAGTTGGTGACAGTTGGTGTCTCCCAACTGCGGGCTGGGGTCCAAAGGATAATGCGCACGTTTGATTGGATACACTAGCTGACATGCCAAAGAGCCGGCCTTTCCGTCCTTTGTGTTGTGAATATCTTTGTCCCTCTCCTCTCATTTAGCTTCCTGTCTAACAACGACCTTAACTCTACGCATAATGTGATATTTAGCATTCTGTTTTCTTTTTAGCCTTTGTATTCTGTAATGCCTAATCTCCTATCTTTTGTATTGCGGA